CGCACATTAATTTAATTTTATTGGAGGATGACGATAGAGCTCACTATATTTTAGTGAAAAGTGTGTCGAAGTAAGTAAAATATTCAAAGAATATGTTAATAATTATTATATTTATTTTATTCATTCATTTACTCTATTTTTTATACCCTCCACCATACTATGGAGGGTATATTAATTTTGTCATTCCGTTTGTAACTCCTCGAAATATTCATGTCAGACCCAACAAAGTATATATATTCTTGATCAGCGTAAAATTCTAAGACGATTTAGCCATGTCCGTCTGTCTGTCTGTCCGTCTGTCTGTCGGTCTGTCTGCTGTAATCACGCTATCTTTCGAACAAATTGAGATAGAAGGCTAAAATTTTGCACACATGTATATTTTCCCAGTAGGCAGGTTAAGTTCGTAAATGGGCCATGTAGGTCCAAGTTATTATATAGCCCCCATATAACGGTACCACCCGATATTCGGTATTTTGATGATTTTAGCGACATTATTCACCGGAATTATTTCAATTTTGGTATTTGGAGTTCGTAATGGATACTACAGCCTAAGACAGAAAATTACCTGTGCAGGTCCACGTCTTCATATAGCCCCCATATAACGGTACCCCCCGATATTCGGTATTTTGATGATTTTAGCGACATTATTTACCGGAATCGTTTCAAATTTGGTATTTGAAGTTCGTAATGGACACTTCATCCAAAGTCAAAAAATGAGACATGTAGGTCCACGTCTTCATATAGCCTTATATAACGGTACCCCCGATATTCGGTATTTTAATGATTTTAGCGACATTATTTACAGGGATTGTTTCAAATTTCGCATGTGAAGTTCGTAATGGATACTTCAGCCCATGCCAGAAAATTGTCTGTGCAGGTCCACGTCTTCGTATAGCCCCCATATAACGGTACCCCCCATGTTCGGTATTTTGACGATTTTAGCTACATTATAAACAGATTTTTCTTCAAGTTTCGCATTTAAATATTGTAATAATTTATGACAAAAGTTGCCTATGCAGGCCCACGTCGTCGTATAAGCATTCGGTATTTTTAAGATTTTAACAGAATTTTTAACGGTTTTTTTTTTGGAAATTGCCAAATTTGTACCAAATGGTGGAGGGTATTAAAAGTTCGGCCCGGCCGAACTTACAGCTTTTTTACTTGTTTCTTTTCAGATTATTATCAAGACAGTTGTCATCAACAAAATCACGATTACAGATTTGTAATCAATGTTTCTACTATACAGCTAGATTAGATCTAATGAATAAGCATAGGGTAGAGTGTAGTCGGGTTGTTACCGAAATGCCCGAGCCAGGAAAAGATAGTGTAGTTTTTAATAATTATAAAAACAGCTAGATGTACCATTTGTCATATATGCTGACTTTGAGTGTGTATTAGAAAATGTTAGGGGAGAAGATAAAAAAGTGAATAAACATGTCCCTTGTGCATTTGGTTTCAATATTAAATGCTCCTTTGATAGCAGTCTTGATAAATTCTTTATTTATTCTGGAGAGGATGCTGCTCAGAAATTTGTAGAAAAGTTAGATGAAGAGTGTAGAAAGATTTATAATGATTACTTGATACTGAATCGCCCAATGACACCGTTAACACCTTTAGAGATAGAGACATTGATGCAGAATCTTGTCACATATGTGATAAGAAGTTGTATAATGATACAGTTCGCGATCATTCCCATATAACTGGTCAATATAGGCGAGCTGTACATAATGAGTGTAACTTGAACTATACTATTCCAAAATTTATCCCAATATTTTTTCATAATTTTTCGGCATACGACTGTCATTTATTTGTGAAAGAGCTGCTAAGTACCATACTTGGAAAGACAACTATTATTCCTCAGAATAAAGAAAGTTATATTCCATTATCACATAATATTGATATGGAAAATAAACAAACATTGGAATACAGATTTTTAGATTCGCTACGGTTTATGGCTTCAAGTTTAGATGTGTTGGCTAGCTATTGTGAGAATTCTGCTCTATTATCTATACGGAAACATTTCCCGAAAAATAATGAATTTAATGCGAAGGAAAGGTAAATTCTGCTATGAATAACTGAAATTATTTAATAAGTTAAATGAAACCTCTCTTCTACCCATTAAAGAATTTTATAGTAAGTTAAATGATAGGAAATGTAGTGAAGATGAATATAATCATGCAATTAAAGTCTGGGAAACATTTAATTGTAAAACTTTGCGTGATTATATGGAATTATATTTGAAGACTGATGTGCTACTCCTCACTGACGTTTTCGAAAATTTCTGGAAATCGTGCAAAAGTATTCATAAGCTAGATCCCTGTCAGTATTATACAGCACCTTGATTGCCATTTGACGCCATGCTTAGACATACTCAGGTAGATCTAGATCTGCTAACGGATCTAGATATGTTCAATTTCTTTAAGAATGGCATTCGTGGGGGTTTAACACAATGCTCGAGAAGATATACTAAGGCTAACAACAAATATATGGAGAACTACGATAAAAACTCCCCTTCGAGTTATCTATTATATATCGATGCTAATAATTTATATGGATGGGCTATGCAGCAATATCTCCCACACAGAGAATTTAAGTGGTTGGAGCCGCAGGAAATGATTACAAATCCTGAGGATATTAAAAAATTCATACCAAATATAGATACTGGTTATGTTTACGAAGTCACCTTAGGCTATCCAAAAACTCTCCACGATGAACATAATCACCCTTATTATGGTTGGCGTTGTCGTAGGCGTTCAAGTGTCGTAGACGTAGTCGTAGGCGTTGTCGTAAATAAAAATTTTTGGTATTATGTACAATTTTCGACTACGTCTTTTTTGTAATAGATGTAAAAAAGCAGGGTGCTCTGGAATAATAAACAATTGTAGAATTTACGAGCTACCCGGTTAAAAGAAATAAATGCGTCAGTTGAAATAGTTGAAGTAAAACGATCATTTGTTTAATTAAATATTGAAATATGTTAAGTGTTGGCAATTTTTTATCTGAGGATGAAGATGAGTATATTCAAAATGATTTAAACGTGAGGCGAAAAATATTGCGGCAAGAGTCTAACATATTTTCCATGACTGATTCCCAGTAAGTAAAATGTAAAATGAGGAAGAATAATAAACAATTGTAGAATTTACGAGCTACCCGGTTAAAAGAAATAAATGCGTCAGTTGAAATAGTTGAAGTAAAACGATCATTTGTTTAATTAAATATTGAAATATGTTAAGTGTTGGCAATTTTTTATCTGAGGATGAAGATGAGTATATTCAAAATGATTTAAACGTGAGGCGAAAAATATTGCGGCAAGAGTCTAACATATTTTCCATGACTGATTCCCAGTAAGTAAAATGTAAAATGAGGAAGAAGCTAAAATAAATATTTTTCTCTAGATTTGTTAGTTACTTCAGGCTTAGTAAGGATGCATTTAAATATGTTTTGGGTCAAATCACTCCAGACCTCCGTAACCGGGTTAAATCTACAAGTGTCCCAAATACACTAAAACTAGCCGCAACAATGCGAATACTGGCTGAAGGAAGTTATCAAAAGGGTGCTGGGAACGATTTCAATGTCAGTTTATCACAGTCGTCTGTCAGCAATGTGTTCCGCGAGTGCATAGAAGTATTGCATAATAAGCTGTGTCCAAATTGGATCTCTTTTCCCACCACTGAAGAAGAGAAATATGAAATTAAGGAACATTTATTGCAAAATACTGGATTTCCTGGTGTGATTGGATGTATTGATGGAACGCACATAAAAATTGTTGCGCCAAGAATGGAAGAGAGATTCAAATACTTGAACCGGAAAGGATTCTACAGTCTCAACGTAACGGTGGTATGTTGCATAACTTATAAATAATGCAAATAGCTTTACTCTCTGTATTATTGTAGGTGTGTGATCATAAATTAAGAATTAGATATATTTCATCACACCATCATGGATCCGTTCACGACTCGTTGGTTTGGAATACAAGTGATTTGAAACAACACATGAAAGAAAACTTTGACAATGGCGAAAGAAATACATGGATATTAGGTACATATATTAAATAAAATTAGTTATGACTTATATCAAGTTCGTTGTTTTAGGTGACGCAGGATATCCATTGGAAAAATTTTTAATTACGCCATTTAGATCAGCTGACGAAGGCTCACCAGAGTGTAGATTCAACAAAATACATTCAAAAACAAGAAATATAGTTGAACGAGCAATTGGGGTGTTGAAGAACAGATTTCGTTGTATATTAGGAGCGAGACAATTGCATTACACCCCTGATATATGTGGAAAAGTAACAGCAGTTTGTGCAGCGTTACACAATACTTGCATACATTTCAAAATTGAAATGCCGATAGTTAACGCAAACCCCTACTTCATGACAGATTCAAATGATGTTGAAATGAACGACGATTTGAATGCATTAGACATAAGATCATCAATAATGCTATCTTTAAGTAATTAATTCATTTTATTATTAATTATCTTATAAAAAGTAAAATTAATTTTTAATATTTAAATATAAAAGCTATGCTTTAAGTTATAACATAAATAGTTTCACTGAAATCCACTCCTTATTTCTTCTAATTCCAGACGTCTCTTTTCAATTTCAATTTCATCTTTCCTACATCGCAATAACTCCTTTCTGAATTCCGCCTTATTTTTATATTCTTCTTTAAGAAGTTTTAATTTTTCTTCCTTTAACTTGTAACTAATTTTTCTTTGTTTTAACAACTCTTCATTCAGTTTGTAGTTTTTGCGTTGGTACCTCTCAATATCATTTAATGATCGTTTAACATCAGTATATAATTCTGTTTGCACCTTCAGCTGCTCTTCAAGAAGTTCATATTTGTGGTCACTTTTCTTTTGTCTTTTTGAAGAAGTCGTTGGAACCTCTTCCTGAAGTTCATTTTGATTCGGGTTATTTGTGCTTACAGAGGGAAGCGTACAGACATCTTGGATGACAACAACCTGCTTCTGTTGCGTATTTCGGTGAAATCTGTTTACGCTTGGAGGAGTGGGTATGCAGGGATTGTGGTTTTCTTTGTCCTCGCCAATTTCAAACCCAGTATTGGACGCTGTTGAATTCCAATTGCTTGGTTCCCTGCATTTACAATTGTCTCCAATTGTAACAGGCGTGATGCTGCTTCCTCCGTTTCGCTTAAAATGAACTGCTTGAAGGGCCCTCCACCTGTAGCACGACATTCTGCCTTGTTATGAACAAGCTTCTTCCTCAATTTAAATTTGTAGTCGGCCCAGACTTTCATCCAGGCTTCGCCAGTTCGAACCGGCGGTCCCAAGATATTGAGTTTTTCACCAATTTTGTTCCATTCTTCCTTAATGTTAACTTTTTTCAAGCCACTGCTGTAACCTCTAGCCAAATTTGGATTCCTTTGCAAAATCTGGATCATTTCATCAAATTGTTTTTTCGTTGTGACTTTAAATCTAGAAAAATATAAATGTTAATAGCTTTACATACATACATATATTTTTGTAATGTTGATACATACTTCTTATTCAAATCCATTTTGTATATAATTTATTCTTTTGTAAACTCAATTTGGGAAAACTTGTGTGTTGTCGGCAACAAAATCTCTAACGACTAATTTTGCAGCATTTGTCGAATTAGAACGTGTCTTGTGGTACGAAAATTGTAACAGAATTTCATACAGAGTTGTAATTTCTCGCATACGACACACAAAATACCAATTAGTCGTTACGACGCGTCAACTTGCAATTTTCGATACGACTACGCCAGCCATAATAAGGGTGAATGATTTGCCGTTTTGTTCAGAGAATAAAAGGGTTGGAGATTCAAAATTTAATAAATTAATAGCTGACTTTGCATCGAAAAAAGAATATGCTATACATTATATGACATTGAAGCAATGTCTAGATAACGGATTAGTATTAGAAAAAGTGCATAGGGTTATATCTTTTGCACAATCGCCATGGTTAGCCTCATATATTAATAAAAACAATGCTACTAATGATTTTTTGCGAAACTTTTATTGAATTTGATAAAACAATGTTTTTGATAAAACAATGTTTTTGATAAAACAATGTTTTTGATAAAACAATGGAAAACATTGACAAGCGTAAAGACATAAGATTAACAACAAATTGGAGGAATAAACCAAACTTCATAGCATTGCAGAATTTTTAGAAGATCTTTGGGCTGTTCAAATGGAGCGATTATGTGTTACATATGATAAGCCCATATATTTAGGGTTCTGTATACTTGAATTAGCTAAATGGAAAATGTATGGTTTCCATTACGAATATGTGAAGAAGAAATTTGGTGAACGTGTAATTTTAAATTACATGGATACCGATTCCTTCATATAAACGATCTATACGGAAGATGTATGTGAAGATAGTATAGATGATATCGATCTACACTTCGACACATCTTCATACCCAGAAAATAATTTGTATAACATATACGTCGTAATAAAAAAGTTATAGGTATGATGAAGGATGAAAATTCTGGTAAAATAATGCTTGAATTTGTTGGGTTAGGTCCGAAAATGTATTCGTATAAGGTGGATAATGGGGGAGAGATTAAAAAAGCCAAAGGAGTTAAAAAGTGCGTCATTGGGCGACATAATATTAATGATTACAAGAATAGTTTATTTAATGAAAAAGTGACAAGTGATACTATGTTTTACTTTAGATCGAAACTTCATGAAAATATACAAATGACTTATATAAGGTGGTATTAAATTTAAAAGATACAAAAAGAATGGTTAGAGAAGACAAAATAAGTACATATGCCTGTGGACATGTTGCTATAGAATGGGAAAACAATTTTAGGAATCTTTATAATGAAGCAATGGATATCGATTCAATGTTTTTTTAATTAATAATCATCATCATTAATATATATTCATTATACTTTATTTGTAAATACCTATTTTGTAAATATATAAATATATTATAATTGTAGAATAAAAAACACTGTGATATATTTTTTAAAAAATTCTTTATTGTTTTATTTATTTTCATAATCGGTAGTATTATAATTAAGTGAGTATAACTATTACATAATTTTGCGAACAATACCATTTAATGGGTTATATTCAATCAATCTATCATGAAGGATAAGGGAATATGCGGATATACCTGCAGGTATTTGTGTATTAGTTTCAAATTCAACTCTTACATATATTGGTCCACTTTTAACAATTCCGTTCTGATGGCTAACATCAATTACAACAATCGGGGTATCCTTAAATTTCTCCCATGATAGAATGGGTTGTGGTTCTTTCAAATAGTAGTTTTGTTGAAACTTTGCATACATATCGTATAGCACTGCATATCTACCTTCATCAAACTTCAAGTTTAAATCATCATATGGATATGTTTCTGAATTTAAATGAACCTTAACATTAACCAAATTAGAATGAATAAATTCAATGAATAAATTCATCAATTACAACAATCGGGGTATCCTTAAATTTCTCCCATGATAGAATGGGTTGTGGTTCTTTCAAATAGTAGTTTTGTTGAAACTTTGCATACATATCGTATAGCACTGCATATCTACCTTCATCAAACTTCAAGTTTAAATCATCATATGGATATGTTTCTGAATTTAAATGAACCTTAACATTAACCAAATTAGAATGAATAAATTTTCCTTCCTTTTCCAGAGCGAGTAGAATAAAGCGAGGTCGTTCTCTATTAGTTGACAACTTCACATTCCACTGACATTTGGTTGCACCTTGGAATGTTGGATTAAAATGAAAATACCAACTTCGAAAAGCGATAAGTAGAGACTTTCCATTGTTTACAATTTTCATAATCTGCAACTTTGACGGATCTGATAAACGTATGTGGGGTATTCTCCATGATATGTTAGTAATTTGTAACTTTAATTTTTCCTTAGGATCTATAGAATAGCAGGCATTATGATCTGTTGAACTGCGCAGCATATTTAATATTATTTTTTGATAATCTTCTGCAAACCCCAATAGCATTTTAAGGGGTATAAAAAATTAAAAACACTCAAAGGTCTGATAAACGTATTTGGGGTATTCTCCATGATATGTTAGTAATTTGTAAATTTATTTTTTCCTTAGGATCTATAGAATAGCAGGCATTATGATCTGTTGAACTGCGCAGCGTAATAAGATCATGCTTGCTATTTAAATTTATTTTTTTGATAATCTTCTGCAAACCCCAATAGCATTTTAAGGGGTATACAAAAATTAAAAACACTCAAAGGTGAATCATCACCATTATTCCATCCAGCATTTCTCATAATATTGCTTTCAAGACTTGTGAGAGATGCAAAATTTTTTTATGGTGCTCGATGCTCCTAAATAACGTGTACGATCAATTTCAATACTATTGAGTTCATATCGGATTTCATCAAATAAGAATGCAATGCAATTGTTGCGTAAGCGAGCGTTTGGTGTAGTTTCTCCTGTTGATGTTGTAATTAGACCTTCAACGTAAATGTAACTTTCGCTCGGTAAAACATATAAATCTTGATTTTGTATTGTGATTCTTATTTCATTATTATTTTTAAAAGAACGGCATGTAACTATGATAACCTTTTTTTAATAATGTTATCATCTGAGAATAGTGCATCTTCAACGTTTAATATTTCAGACATTTTCTTTTATGCGTAATTTAATAGATTTCAAAAAATGTTTATTTTTTTCCATCAGTAATCGTCTTTTAGGTTCGATTGTCTTTATAGGAATGTGAGATTCTTTCTGCTTTTTTAAGTATTTGTTATAGATAATCATTTTGCTATAGGTCTTAAATGCAGAGAAATTTCTTCACCTCGAAAATTTATTTGACGTTGTTCTTGATCAGTAATCCAAATTTTGAGAGAACTTATTTCTTTCACATTCACTGGTAAATAAATCAAGTTAAGTTTTTAAAGTTTTCAATAATTCGTGCTGTGAAAAGTGATCACAAATATTTCAATATTTAAGGAGTTATTGCCATTTTATAGTTTTCAATAATTCATGCTTTAAAAAGTGATCACAAATAATAGCTAAAGTCGCCGAAAACTCTATATTTAAGGAGTTATGGCCATTTTAAAGTTTTCAATAATTCATGCTTTAAAAACTGATCAAAAATAATAACTAAAATCGCCGAAATCTCAATTTTAAAGTTTTCAGTAATTCATGCCTTAAAAACTGATCACAAATAAGTAGTAGTGTATGTAATACGACTTCTGATGCAGGAAATGGGATCGATTAATTAAAATTTTATCTATCATGGATTACGTGCCAATCCCTTTTGGCACGTGACGGTTCTTTTTATGTGAATATCAAGGAAGTATAGCTAATTAGTATTCTGATCGTGTTAAATTGAAATTAATTGAAATCATGTGAAAATTTGTATTAAAATGGTGTAAAAGAATTAATTTATACATATTAATTTAAAAGGGATAATATGTGCAGTTCTGAGTGCCCATATTATTGATTGAAAAGGTTAATATATTCTATTCTGATGGGTGTCAATGCATATTGATAGAAAAGGTTAATATATTCTATTCTGATGGGTGTCAATGCAACAGGTCGATCTTGCAAGCAGTTGAAATATTTGTAGGAAAAGATTTGAAAAATTAAAATTGTTCTAAGTAAGAAGGTCGGCTTTGAAGAAAAAATTTACGTGACAAAAATAAAAGAGTATGTTCTTGTAAACAATTGAAATGATATTAAGAAAAGAATAGAAAAGGTTGATTAAGATAATTATGTAGGTGGTAGGGATAATATATTCAATTATGCGGGTGTTGCTAAAAAAGGTTGAATAATAAACAGTTGCAATGGCTGTAGCAAAAAAATTAGAAAAGATCGGTTTAGATAATTATGTATGACCTAGGAAAAGGTTGATTTTGTTAACAGTTGAAATGGTTGTAAGAAAGGGATTGAAAACAACATTTTCCGTTCAATATGTACGTGACAAGAAAGATTGATCTTGTAAACAGTGGAGTTGTTTGGAGCAAGGTGAGCATTGTTGTTATAGTGGTTGTAAAACAAGATGATACTTTAAGCAGTGTATACGTTTTACACATTCTGAAGAAAATCAGTGAACATATAATTGGTATATAGAAAGGTGATGGTTTTATGTATTGTTATAAGATATAGAGGGTGAGTATGTGTCAGTTAGAATTGGAGTTGAAATTTTGTCAAACAAAATCACTTTGTGTTGAGACTTCAACTGAAGAGTATCGAAAACCACCAAACAATTTTTAAAATTATTCATTTCATTTGTAGTTTCTGCTCTAAGGAACTGGCCAGTAAGGAATCTTATATAAAACATTGCCAATTACACAAAAAATCTGCTATATATGTATAAGATTTGTGCATCATTCCAAGGCTTTGGAATACACTTCCTAAAATATCATCCTTACCAAAGGATTTTGTCGCAGCCCCAGCAATATATACAAAAGCTTCAACCATTACATCACCAACAACAAAGTGAAGAACAATCAACAACAGTTCAACAACAGCAGCATATGTTGGAGCAACAACCGCAGCAACATATGTGTGAACAAAAAGAGCACATATATGCACAACATCAGCAGCACATTTACAGTCAAAATCAACAATCACATCATCAACAGCAACAGTATGAACAACAACAACAACAAAATAGAAATTATCAGTGTCAACAACAGCAAGTACATCAGGATCAGCAACATGATCAACAGCAGCACTTCCAACAGGTAAATTAACATCAGCAGCAAATATATCAACAACAGCAAATATACAATCAACAAAACCTTCAACAGCAACCACAATCGCACCATCAG